CCAGCGGGAGCCTCCCGGCCGTCTGCACCCCACGGCTGGTGATGGTGGAGCGGTGTTTGTACTGGGCCAGGCGTGAGGCCTCTGAGGCCAGCCGCTCGAAGATGTCGTTGACAAAGGAGTTCATGATGCTCATGGCCTTAGAGGAGATGCCGGTGTCTGGGTGCACCTGCCAGATGGTAATCAAGCACACACCCATCACCCTGCAGGGAGTGGGGGCCTCCCTTCCCACCCCACACAGGACATCCTCACCCCAAAAGGGCCTGCAGTTGCCACCTTGAGCTGCATGCCACTTGTGTGAGACTGAAGATAGGCCCTCATGGTGCTACAGTGGCTTTGGGATTGCACTGGTAGAAGCCTCTGCGCAATCCCCCATGGAAAACAAGCCTGCAAGGGGGGGAAATGCCCACACGCTCCAAGTCCTGCCTACAGGCTCGTGTGGACAGCTGAGGCTCAGGCAACTCATGACCACCTCTCAGAATTCTTTTTCTCATGTCCCCAAAAAAAATTACCAGCAAGATTTTAATACTTCTAGGGCCAGCAGCAGCTGTTCTTGCCCTGTTGACTTCTACTCAATTATTTCTTTAGGCAGAGTCACAGAATGGTAGGGTTTGGAAGGGACCTCTGTGGGTCATCTAATCCAACCCTCCTGCCGAAGCAGGGTCACCTACAGCAGGCCACAGAGGACCTTGTCCAGACGGGTCTTGAATATCTGCAGAGAAGGAGAGTCACACGCACTAGAGTTTACTCTAAGAAACCTGTTCTGATCTAGATCCATCTCTTGCCTTCTACCACAAGAATTCCCCACACACACACTTTTGAGACTCAGCTGGGGCTCTCCTGTATTCACTCACTCTTTCATCTCACTAAAAAAGCAAATTTTCCTTCCTTTTTATAGGGTTAACATGCAACAGGCAGAAGTAACTTCACATATGAAGCAGCTTGTAGCAGAAAAGAAACATTTACTCACCTGCTTCAGTACTTTGTAGATATAGACTGAATAGGTTTCCTTCCTCTTCAGCTTCTTCTTAGACTTCCTGTCCCCAGAGGTGGGAGCATGACCACGCTTCTTTCCAGCTTCTGCACTCATCTCAGCCTCCAACAGAGCAACCAATAGGTGCCATGGAGCTGATTTATAGCAAAGGCAGCAGTACCTCACCTGCCTCAGGTGCAGCCCCCAAAGGAGCAAGACAAATACACATCTGTAACTGATGATTCCACTTTGCACTAAGTGAAGAGCAGCTGGCCTGAGAGGAGCTTGGAAATAACTGATCAATTAAACTTTCAGACCTGAGAAAAAGTTTGAGGGTAACACAGGCAAAGAGGTGGGCAAGAGTAGTAGCATCTCATTCACATGGTGCAAATCAGACTACTCAAGGTATTGCTTCCAGAATCAAATGGGTGGAACCACTTCTGTGCTATGGAACAGGCAACGCAGTTAGTGGAGACTGAGTAATTGGGGGAACATTGGTCTACTGACTGAATGATAGCATTACAAACATCCCAACAGCCAATATTCCTCCACTATGTCAGCTAGCCCGCTCTTGGGATTTCTGCCTGCAACACACAACTGGGCCTCAACGGACAGAATGGAGGCAGCGAGAGGGGAGGCCTAACACCTTGAGTATGTATTTGATCTATCTTGGAAACCAGTGGTCACAGCAGTGATGGTAATTATGATGAAGGAATTAAGCTAAGCCAGGAAAATAAAATGTGCAGCAATACAATAGAGAAGTGAACAAAATAGAAGTTTTCTGTCCTTTAGGTAGAAAAGGAAGCATTTTTCTCAGCAGGCACCACAACAGATATTTCATAAAAGGGTAATCCTAGTATGTACCTTTGGTGGAGGGGACGCTGGTATCTCTGTGCTGCCGTGCACTGTCTCCTGCTCTAGGGGCACGCGTTATGTTAAGGCATATCCTTAACAACTTGCATCTTCCAAGGACTAAGTTTGGGAGACCTACTCATCAGTCACTCTGCCAGTGCTTGTACAGCCAATATCGTTTCACTAAATTTAGTTTTATTCTAGGCCTGTCCTCGTGGGGAGGCACCTGATCACACACCCCTAGTGCAAATAAATGTCAGTGACAAATGGGGTCTAAGCATCACAGAAGAGCTTCTTGCACCCAAGAACTGAAACATTAGGTATCAGGTGGGACAGGCTGGAGTGGTAATGTCAGCACATTTGTGAAAGTGAACAGGCTTGGACATTGAAGATGTGGGGTAGTGGGAACCTTCTGGGAACAGGAGTGGCATATTCTGTGACATGTAACAATGTTAAGAGATGTCAGTGGATCACTCATACTGGGAGTAAGGAGCAGACAACATCACCACTTCTGTTTTGTGAGAGGCCATGCATCGGCAAGGAACAGCACAGCGCTTCCCCCTCTGGTGTATATTCCACCCACCCACTGATTTAGAGAGCTGTAAATAGCCAAGATCTTTGTGTTGGGGGAGACTGTTCACTGTGACTGGAACTGCTTTACCTTTTCCACTGGCCAAAGCACACAAAAGCGCTCTCATGCTAAAGGAGCCATTGTATCTCTCCACAGCTGCAGCTGTGTCTGGCACCAGCAGTTATACACAGAGAGCTTGTTTTTCTGACAAGAAGGAAGCCCTTTGGTAGACAAAGAGTAGTGACTGGTCACTCAGCATTAAGCCAAAGGAGCCATTATATAGCAAGGGTGCAGGCTCATTGACTGAGCAGTATAGTAAAATTTGAACTCCCAGATTTGGGGAATTAACACCTGGTTCCCTAGATTCAGAGTGCTAGAGGCTGTCCATTCTGGAAGCTGTGTGCTGGGCTTGACTCATCCTTGTGCTATTTTGGTAGTGTATGGATCGACTCACAACACAGTGAAAGGGAATCCCACAACCCTGCACTTGATGTAATATCTGCCACTTCCAGCTGTAGCTGTGTTAGAGCCAACCTCACTTTTAGACTACAAGCACAAGTAACAGTGTAGAGGCTCTAGGCCACTTCTTTCACATAAATTACCATCCTAGCAACTAAGAAGCAATTCTCATAATTCATCTATATATAATTTTGCTTTTGTGCATGACTAGAAAAGCCCTAGCTGAAACAGTCCAAGATGCCACTGCTCCAGCTAGCAGCTCCTTCTCTCACAGAAATCAGTACTCCAGGACATACGCCTGCTACAGCTGCTTTAGTGCAGTCTAACAGTCACCACATAACAGGTTTAAATCACGGCTGAAATACCAGACTGATAGAGCATGTGTATATATTCCAATTTACAAGTCCTGGCCTACCAACTGTGATCTCTAGTGCAGTTATAGCTACTTTTGCTTTGAACATGGACCTGTGGCCCTTGTTTTGCTAAATCAGACCTGTCTGCAATGGAGAAGTTCCTCTCATTTTGCAGCAGCAGACAGCTAACACAGCTCTCCTCTTTGCTGCATCAGCTACAAGAATTCTCCAACTACTGTCCCATCATGCTGGCTGTCATCCCAATGTTCCCATGCCCTTCTCAGGATTTACCATTCCTGAAGAACTCAGTGTAAGATGGTATCTTGCAATTACTGTTGCCACCATGGCTCTCAACTGCACAGATCTGAAATGTAGTGATCAGTTGTTGCCAAATATTTGCTAAGAATACAGATGAGCAGAATTAACAGCTCTAACCTCAGGCAGGACTTCTTGACCTCACCATTCTCATAGCTACTTCGCAACCCTTTCCAACTCGCCAACGTCTTTTTAAAACCTAGAGAGCAGAACGAACAAAGACATGCACTCATCTATTCTTATTTCAACTTCTGTGAAACCAATCAGACTTTAGAGTATTTACTTATCCGTGGGTTGCTTTTAATCTGCCACTGTTTGTCTGTTGAGTACTACACTGTGAGATATTAAGTGACTTTTCAATGCAATCTAGACTTTTCTACAGAACTAATTTGAACAGCATTTATACTAATCTGCATTATTTTCTCAGAGAAGACTTTTTTCCTCTCTCAGATCATTGCTAAAAACACTGAAAAACCTGAATGTTCTGCACTATCTACTGGAAGCAGCTCCCATTGTGACATTTGTCCTATGGATGATATGCAATGCTTCTACAGCAGCAGTCACAGCTTGGATGGCTCCTTTGGAAGAAAAAATAATGAAATACTCTACTCAAAAAGTCAGAGCCAGAGCCAGTCAGCATCTGAGAAAGTACTCCAAGAGTACAATTACTACATACTTGTCCTATTCTTTGATTTGCCTGTTAAGATGTACCATTGGAACAGGTTATTGGACTACATGAACCTTTCACATCACCAGTGCAGCCATTCTCATGTGTCAGAAGTAATTAAAATGATAACTCATGATCACAGAATCAGAGAATATTAAGGGCTGGAAGGGACCTCTGTGGGTCATCTAGCCCACCCCCCCTGCCAAAGCAGGGTCACCTACAGCAGGCTGCACAGGACCTTGTCACACAAAAATGTATTTTATTCAAGCTTCTGTGGCACAGGGTGAGGTTTAAACACCAACTTTTCTAAAAATTTGTTATTAAGAACAAAAATAAATGTTAAACTATCTTTAGTTTAGTCTTGTTTAGCTAAACCTGCAAGGAACAAATAAGTAATTCATAGTAAAAAAAAAAAAATCTAAATTATTGAGTCTCATTATTAGACCCAGAAAATTCAAGGTGAAGGGAAAAGCATACCCCTAAGCCACTCTGTCGTAGAGAACACACACTGGTATTTCATAGATCTACATTCTGTCTCTAACTTCCAGTCTTCAGAACCCTTTCACGTTCTATCTGTCAACAACCAAAAAGCATGCGTGGCTTGCTCCCCTTCTGCCACTCACTGCTCTGTACCTCCAGAGCTCAGTACTCACCACTTCATGTATCCCACAAGTTCTGATCATAACTTTGGTATACTGAATAACTGAACTTTTGCTCCAGAAAAAAGGGTTCTGCATCCTTACTCAAAGCTCAGCACTAGCTGATTTGCCCCAGCATGCCCAAATAACTACTACAGCTCACAAAACAAGAAAAGACTGTTCTTCCCTCTTTATTGACTGATGGATTATCAGGCAGATCTGTTAATTACACTGTTAAATAATAGTTAAAAACAAACCAAGGCCAGAGGAGTTTGAAGTGAAGTATCTAAACTGAAGCAGAAATTGGGAAGGAAGAGGCAGGAGAAGCTGGGCTGGGGTCTCCACTTCTGTATCACTGCAGCTCAGACACCCTAACTGCCACTGCCATGACCCCAGACCATTAGATTCCAAGGCCTGGCTCAGATGGGACACCATCTAAATATGGAAATGGTTGCCCAAACGTAGCCAGATCAGGAGAGATCTGTCCAGATACAGAGGTGCAAGGCAAGTCAAGGGGAAGCAGTATTGCAGCAATCCTAGAACACAGCCACAGAGACAGCAGCAGAGTCCCATTCCAGTCGGCAGATGGGCGAGTCACATTGGCTACTGTCAGTCTCCACAGAGAGCACCTGACCGACTGCTCTAGAGCTTACACATTGTGGGTCTTTTTGGTAAGCTGCGGATCCTCATCCACCAGCTTTGACTTGAGATGTTCCTTGTAGGCGAGGATGTCACCTTGCCACTTTGTGATTGTCTGCTTCTCACAGACCCAGATCTCTTGTGCAACCTGAAAGCAAGCACACAATGAGGAGACGTTTACAATACAGCATTTTACCAAAATTATAAAATCAACCAAAATCTGCTCTCTGAAGTCTGGTAAGAGAAGAGTTTAATCACACTTCAACTACCAAAGAAAAATATCTAGAGTGAAATATCTTATCTGGTGTTTTCTGCATAATTTATACAAGATTTTAGAACTAAAAATCCTTAACCCCTCAACATTTCTTTTTTTGTCCATGGACTAAGAAGGGAAGCCTCTCCTGCTAAATTGGGGATTGAAAAAAAAGTAGTTCTTGACCTGAACTACTTGGATGTAATGCATTGAAAAATAAAATTATACCTGACCTCGAAGACAAAGCTATAGCTGATAAATCAGCACTTGACATTTGTGTGTATGTAGTGCAAATTCCTTAGCCTGTGCAGATTGAGTAATAAAAACCTGTGCTAGAACTACTCCAGCATCATTTAAAAAAATTCTAGTT